TTGGTCAAGTGCTCATAGGCCTACTGACCAAATGCCCATAGGTCTGCTTGCCCAACAACAGGACAGTAAGGGTGGACGACAATCAAAAACAGCTGGGGGACTTTTCATATCATTAGGTCATCACCTACTCATGAGGAAAAAAGGGTAGAGGTCCTCTAGTTAGCTTCTAATGATTGAGCAAGTGAACTTCATAGCAAGCAAGTGAATTTATAATCTTGTAGTTTAAAGTTTGGGGCCTATTATAAAAAAGAATCTATCTTAACTAATTATCCCTAAATATAATATGTGCAAAATATTTGTTTATATATTTAATTCCTATACTAATATTAGTTAACTAGACTAATAAATGTATATTGATAGATAAGTATAACACTAATAATCACTAGCCCTGTTATCACACTAAACTAACTAATTCTGATTGGAATAAAATAAGGGCTGGATAAATCATTCCTCACAGTACTAAGCAGTCAGCAAAAATCAGACCAAAATTTAGCACCAAAAAAATTATGTTTGTGGCAACTGGTGGTATGGTGGATAAAACGCTAGTCCTGACTTTAAAATCCTGCCTCAGTCATTTACTATCTATGTGATCCTGGGCATGTCACAGCTGCTCAGAACCTCAGATTCCTCATTTGTAAAAAGAAGACAATAACAGCACCTATTTCATAGGGTTGTTGTGAAGCTCAAATGAGATAACATATGTAAAGTGCTTGGGAAACCTTAAAGCACTATGTGTTGTTGTTCAGTCGTGTCTGGCTCTACGTGACCCCATGGACAAAGTCCATGAGGTTTGCTTGGCAAACATAATAAATAACGAAATGGCTTGCCATTTCCTTCTCCAATGTATCCTCATTTTATCCTCAAAATTGATGAGTATTTTAATATGTATTTATTCAAATACGAAGTTTGCTGTGTATCAATAAGTGAAATTACAATAAACAACTGCCCTAGAAACTTTTTTTTCTCCAACTCCTATTAAAACATGGCATGTTGCTGTATATTATATATCCAAAGTATTTATGACTACTTCAAATGTTTGACAATTTTCCTGTTCTAGTAAGGGGACTTTATATTAACTGTTGATTAAAAGCGATAAAAATTAGAAGACATCATTAGTGATTTTATACTAGAGAAAAATCTGAAGAAAATATCTAAACATGGCATCTCTTGTTCTTTCTTCAGAAATCAATACTAATTACTAGTAGGCCGTATCCAATCTCAGAAAAGCAGAGACAGTGGACTGCATTCAACGTTAGCTCATTCAAGCAGAAACAACAATACCATTTCCCAACCACTCATCCAGTCTCCTTCCGGACCACTTAATAAAGAGGCAGGTTACCTGAGCCTCAGAAACCAGAGTGAGCAAACTGGGTTCAACTTCAAGAAAGGAAGGAAGACATAGCATTTCTTATAAGCTGAGTAAATAGCCAATACTGTCCCAACTGAAAATGAAGCAGGTCTAAACAAAGGAGAAAAAAAACCCCACAGCTGATCCTTGGCACAAAGATTAGGGAAGCAGTTCTTCTTTTTGTTTCCTCTCCAACTCCCCCAAAATATTAATGCCAATTGGATGGATAGAATGTAATACTTTTTCATTGTTGGTCAGGCAGCTTGGACTCTACCTCCTGGCAAAAGACAAAATTACTCTAACTAGGAACAGGGCAAAGATCAGGTCCATTAGTCTAATATTTTTCCCTAAGACTGAAAGAAAAGTAATGGCTGCACTCACTATCCCAAAGGGACTGGTAAATCATAGCAGCAAGAACTTGCAGAGATGTCACTATTTTCCACCAGCAGCTAAAAAAGCAGCTGCCCTTATCTTCTCCAAGTCTGCTAGCATTCTAATTTCCCCTGGGATAGTAGTGATCAAGACAGGGTTATTTCTATGCAATTCCTTATACAGAATAGTTCTAGGCATTAGGATTAAGTTCACAAATCACCCAGAACAACACCTTGCATAAGGGTGATTAATAAGTCTGGAAAACAGTTACCTGCACCAGCACCTCTACCTAGCAGCAGTTATCATTAATACATTGTGGAAAGTCAATATGACTAGTACATTACTGGCTAAGTAAGCTCTCCTTCAAGTACAAAGTACTGAAGTACCACATTTCTAACAGTAAATCCAAGTCCTAAACAACCTAAACAATCAGCTATTCCCATCCCCTATTTCCCTAGACTTAAGGAACAGGGAGTAAGTAGTACACCCTAAACTACCAAACAAATTCAATCATTAGGTAGCCATTGCTCATTCCAGCCCCTTTCTCCCACTGAACACACATGCCTTTTAACTTAGTATTTCTGTGTCACTGGCCATTAGTTTACTGCTTCATTTACTAAATTCCAGATCTCCGGTTCTATATTCTTTCAGTAGCAAGCATCCTTAGATTGGGATACCCTTTGCTACAAGAGACAAAAATCTTTGTGTCTTCTACCCAATAGCTAATAGAATATTTCCAGGCAGTAGAATTCACTGAAAGCTATATTGTTGCTGCTAGTTAGGTTATACGCCAGCCTGCATTTATGTGATGGTTTCTACTCTTAAAAACAGAACCACCTGAAGTGCCACCCCTCACACAAAAGAGTTTGGGGTTACTGCTCTCAGTAAGGGGAGGCATGCAGTAATGCAGAAAAGGATTATTAGATTCAGGAGACTCTAAACATTTTTGATGACCTGGAATTCTTCACAGGATGAGAGGGAATTTAACAGCTGCACCAGGATATGGCTTGCCTATGGAAACTTACAGGTAGACTTTTAACAGCTGACCTTTATGAGGGAGGAAAGGAGTGATGATGAAAGAGAGAATTTGAGTCCTTTCCCTAGAAGGGTGATGGACTCAAGGCAAAAGGGATTGGAGTGGAACAAATCACACTATATGCATTCACCTTAGTCTCCTTATATTTTCATAAAAGTAAAATCAGCTTAAAATAGACATCAAGTGTATCCTTGAAAAGGAAAAAAAAAGTCATAAAACCAAAACGTGCAAGCTAAGGATTACGTAGAAGGCAGAGCCCACTGCATCCAAGAACCTTGAGCCCTTTTAACCCTTCCACCACCAACTAGCAGAGTTGCCTCTTTTTTCCACTAGGTTTACCTACCATCTGCTTTTTGTAGGGCCTGGAGTTTCTCATTTGCTATACCCTAGCCATAGCTTTGAAAGAAGAGATATAGCAGATATTTCGATATGCACAGAACCATACATTTAGAGCTGGAAGAGACCTTAAAGGTCAAAGAGTCCAATCCCCTCATTTTTACAGATGAAGAAACTTAGGCCCAGAGAATGTGTGACTTTGAACCACTGTTACAAATGGCAGAGCTGGAATCTGAGCCCAAATTTTCTGACCCTGACTCCAAATCCTAGGCTCATTCCACTGTCCAAAGTGATCTAGAATGAAGAATGAGAGATCAATAAGGTAGAAAGAGGCATGAAGGGGAAAGAGAGTTACTGGCACTCAGAAACTAGTCAAACTCTTAGCATTACTTCCTGCTGAAAATATTAGGACCTTTTCCAGCTCCAAAACTGTGAGTGTGTGAAGAACTCGGTGATCTACAACTTAAAAGAAGATAGGCTAGTTAAGAGCTCTTATCCGAAGGAGGTGAGAAAACACATCTCCAATGCATTTTCCACACTTAAGCCAAACCCAAAGCATAGGTTTGATGATATGACTCAAAAATCTCCAGTGGGTCCTTATTGCCTTTTAGGATAAAATACAAATGTAAAGACTTAAAATCAGGTTCCAGCCTGTTTATCCAGGCTTACTTCACATTATCATCCTTCAGTACACTTTCAGGTCCCTCAAACTGGACTATTTGCTAGGTTGACATGCCCTACTTCTTCCTAACTCCCCATCTCCATTCCTTTGCACCTGGCATAAAGATGCCTTAGAATGCTCATTTCCAATGCACAGAATCTCTTCTTCAGTCAAAGCTCAGCTCATGTCACCTCCTGCCCTTACTGGCGGCACCCACCCAAATTTCCTTGTATATATTTTATCTCTCCTTAATAACTGTCCATATTTCTTCACATAATAATAACTAGTATTTGTATAGTGTTTAAAGGCTTGCAAAGCTCTTAACGTGTGTGTGGGGGTTTAGTTCATTTGACCAAGGTGCCCTGGTTGGAAGCATCAAAGTGAGATGAGGCAAGCGAGATGGATGTGATTATCCCCACTTTACAGATGAGGAAACTGAGGCTCAGAGATTAAGAAACTTGCCCAGGGTCATACAGCTAGTGAGAATCTGAGGCAGGATTTCAACCCAGGGCTTCCTGACTCCAGATTGGATAGCCAGGTGCAAAGGAATGCAGATGGAAAGTTAGTTTAGTTTAGTGACTTGGAAAGTTCTTCATAAATGTTCCTCAAAGGAATGATGCGAGGCAGGGAAAAGAGCACTGACCTGGAGTCAGAGGGCACGGGTTCAAATTTCGCATAGATATTTACAACCCGGGTCACCCTGGCCAAGTCGCCTAAGCCTCGGGGCCTCAGTTTCCTCAGTGTTCGGGTCCCAGGGGCCTCCTTCCCGCCCCTCCCCACCCCGGCCCAGAGGCTGCGGCTCGCGGCTCAGCCCAGGCCCCGGATCCGCCTGCAAGGTCTCCCTCCCATCAAGCAGGCGGGCGGCCTCCGCCGCATGTGGGAGGCAACACCGGGCCAACCCGCCAGCGGGTCCCCGGATGTGGTTGCTAAGGCCGCGGCTGCCGCTTAGGTGACCTAGTCGGGGGAGGAAGGAGTGGGCGGGGCCTCCGTTGAGAGAGACTTGGGAGGTGGGGGAGAAGTGGAGAAGTGGGCGGGGCCTCTAGCGAGGATGAGCAAGACGAGGAGGGAGGAAGGCGTGGGCGGGGCAACCGTCCTAGGGAGACCCTGGGCGGAGGGAAGAGGGGGTAGGCGGGGCTCCCGGCGCGAGAGGTGTGGCCACCACCAGACGCCGGTGGGGCCAGGCCGAACCCGAAAGATAGGCCAGCTAGGGCCAGGGCCAGGGCCAACGTGGCTTCCGGTCTCCTCACTTCCGGCTCCGCGGCTCCCGGTCTGGCTCTTCGGGACAGGGGGACCGACCGTAGGAGGTGCAGAGGGCTGTGCTGGTGGCTCGGGACTCGCAGTCAGGGACAGCCGCCGAGGCTCCCGTCCCTCCTGCCCCCGGGCTCAAGGTGCGTGACCGGGCCGGGTCGCTGCTTCCCCTCACTTCTTTAGCCGTCCGCTCGCAGGCAGGGCTCCCGGGGGTGGGGAGAGCCGCGGTGGTGGCCCCTGCTCCGGGGGAGGCGGCCGGGGGCGTGGTCACGGGCGGATGCGGGCGGTGGACACGTCGTCCGTCTCCGCACTGACCCCCTCCCTCCCGCGCGTCGGCCGGGCTCTCCTATGCCGGGTGAGGAGCTGCGTACTGCTGCGGGAAAGAGGGGGCTGGTGTCGGGGCTTCAGGGGGCCTCTGGCCCTCGGCTCTTCCCTTCTGGCTCTTGCGGCGTGCCCCCTCCTCTACTTCCCAGCTAGGGGAAAGTGAGCCTGAAACTTGATAAAGTCTGTCCCCAGCCTAGGTTGGGCTGCGTGACGAGATGGGTCGGTGTGAAACCTTTCCCGTTCGGTTTTCAGTGGGAGCTGGTGTGTTGTGTGAAACGCCCAGGTTTGGTTGCAGAAAGGCAGTATTGTCAAAGTAGTGCAGCCAAAACCAGATTTTTTTGTGCTTCTCTGTACTTTTCTTTCCTCCTTACCCCACTGACCACTTTTTAAGTATTGGGGAAGAAGTTCAGTTTTTCTTGTAGTTCCTAGGCACTCCTTTCCTTTCACTTTTTTTTTAATTACTTCCTTTTATCCAACTTTTGTGTTCTTGAAATCTTTGATCTCTGGACCTTTAGCAGTTGTCGCTTCCTGCAGTTCTTCCAGACCATTTTTAAAACTTCAACTAACACTTTTCCCTTCCCTTCTCCTATTAGCTAAATTTAATGTATTTAAAACTCAGTCCCTATACTTATTTCAGATTGATGATTTTTCTTGCCTAAACATGGATAGGTGTGAACAAGCGTTAATTTTAATTTCATTAACATAGCACTGTATTGGTTATATTAAGCCAGGCCCATTGTATTTAAGGTTGCAATAATTATGGCATTTACCTTTAGAATCACAACCCTTTCTAATGTGTGCTAGGGCTGTTTTTGCCTTTAAGCCTTTCTTCAAGTTGTTTTGGTGGTTTTTTCCCCCCTGCTTTTCAGAAACTTAATAGTGCCTGGGAAGTACTTTTATTCCATGAATAAAACAGGGCATGCAGTTTCTAAATTTTCTTTGACATTAATGTTATTTTTCTTTTGATGTAACTGTTTGCTTTTTCGTCTGGTTCTGACGGTGACTTTTTTTTTGGCCATCGAAACTTTTGAACCTAAGAGTGAAATACAAAGAGATCTTTTACAACCTTAAAGCCCAAATTTTACTCCCTTCATAAAAAAAGAAATTTGTCGGTTTGCTTTTTAGTTCCTGATCTGTGGTTTTGAGGTTTCTTTCTAAGTATGACTATCTGTGGTTCCACAGGCAATATTCTTTTTTTTTTAATTTTTATTTTTTTATTTTGCTAGGCAATGGGATTAAGTGACTTGCCCGAGGTCACACAGCTAGTAAGTATTATGTGTCTGAGGTCGGATTTGAACTCAGGTCCTCCTGACTCCAAAGCCGGAGCTCTGTCCACTGCGCCACTTAGCTGCCCCCCCACAGGCAACATTCTTGAGGTCTGGTAAAGATGTATTAAGGGATTGGAAATGTGCTTTTGGTTATGGAATACTTACTGAAACATCACCCTGTGTAAGGCACTGTTCAGATAAAAGTTTAAAAGCTGTTTTAACTTCCTGCTTCCATTTCCCCTTGTGAGGCATCTTGTGGTTTGGTATTGAGGAAGCATTGCTTTGCTAGAGAGGGTTAAAAGAATGTTCTTGGAAGCTTGGTCAGCACATCTTCACCCCCTTTCTTACCACTCTGCAGTCTTTCCATTTGATGTTTGGCTGTTTTCTTGCCAACGGAGTTTTAGTGCTAACACTGGTGTTTATTGAGTTTGGTATGATAACCCTTTGTTGTTTGAGGAAAATGTAAGCTCCTTGAGGGCAGGCACTGATGTAAAAAAAAATGGATCTCCCCCTTCTTTCCTGACAAAGTAGTTAGCAAATAATAGATGCTTAATAAATACTTATTAAATTAATGAATGCGTTCAAAAAGGTGAAATTTGAAATGTTTTCCTTTGAAAGCTCGTCTATGATGAGCAGCTAGACCCTTTAAACTAGAATAATTATTTCTTCTGGCCAGCATCCCCTTCTGCCAACTTTGTGAAAAGTATCTTGTCAGGCCAATTTAATTTTCTTCTTCAATCCTGATAAGTAACAAAAGCAAAGAGGAAGGGATTGCTGTAAAGTATTTTTCTTCTGTCTTGTAGTATTTAATAAAAATGAATGTAAAGTCATGCACTTCAGTTAAAAAAATTAGATGTACAAGGATAGAATTAAAGGTAAGGGATTTTTTTGACTTGAAGGCTCAGTAATCAGTGGTGTGATGTGGCAGCCTGCAGATCTAATGCATATCAATTGCATTAATAGATACAGTGTCCAGAATAAGGGAAGTGATAGTCCCATTGTACTCTGCACCTGTTAGATGATACCTGAATACCATATTCAGTTCTGTGTGCTGAATTTTAAATGACCAGGATGATGAAGGGATTTGAAACCATGTCAAAGGAGACTGTACTAAAGGAAAAGGGTATGCTGAACTTGGAGAAGAAAAAGCTTGAGGACATCACCTCTTTACCTTACATTAGGCCTGCAGGTTGTTCTCTTGGCCTCAAGTTGTCCTCCCTTCCTCCTTGTCCCTCCCCATCCCCCTCCCCTAACCTGTCCATCCTCCACTAGGCTGTCAAACTGATCTTCCTAAAACTCTCTAAATAAAGTTCAGGTCTGACTTAGTCAGCTCCTCACCTCGTGCCCTTCCCCATTCAGTCAATTCTGGTGATTACTTATTATCTCTAAGATTAAATATAAAATTCTTTGGCTTTTAAAGCCCATCCTAACCTGGCGTTGTCCTTCCTTTCTAGTCTTACATCTTGCTCCCCTCCATGTACTCCATGTTCTCTTTGATCCAGTGACACTGACGGTTCTGCTGTTTCTTGCACAACAAAACATTCCCCAACTCTTACTTTTAACTTTCTCGCCTCTTTCCACCTCCTGGCTTCTCTGGCTTCTTTGAAGTCTCAGCTAAAGTTCTACCTTGTGCAAAGAGCCTTTCTAATTCCCCTTAATGTTAGTGCTATCGTTCCGAAATTATGTATGTCTTATTAGTACATAGTTGTTTGCATGTTGCCTCCTTCATTAGACTATGAGCTCCTTGAGAATGGGGATTTAAAAAAATTTTCCTTTCTTTGTATTTCCAGCACTCAGCACATTGCCTGGCACTGAGAAGGCATTTAATAAATACTTGTTAATCCCATCAGTGACTTGACAGGATTTTATGTTAGCTATCTCATTTGAGCTTCAATAACTGTATTATAACAGTAAATGTTACAAATATTTTATCCTCATTTTACAAATAGAGACAACTGAGACTCAGAGAGTTTAAATGACTTACCAGTAAGGTAGACCACAACTAACAGAAGGAAGAACCATCCAGCAACTTGACATTTCTCAAGTATGCTGCCTTATTAGGCAGTGGTGTTGAAGGAGATATTCTTGAATTGAAGAGATAACGACTAGATGAGTTTAAGACCCTCTTCTATTCTAAAAGTTTATTATTTTCATCAAGAAATTAACAGAGGACAAATCACTATATTATTGTACTGTTAACAAAAACTGACTTGCAGGCCACACCCAAAATTAGTTACTTGAAACAATAAAGTTGGGAGAATGGCATGAAATGTCCCAAGTATTGGTCTGAGGTCCAAGCAACATTTTTATTGGTGACCTGCATAGGAGGGAATGGAAAATAGGTGTAATAGATTTGTAGGAGCTTGGATTTTGGAAGATAGGAAGAATTTAGAATGACCTTGATGAATTTGAAGAGTACTTAAAAACCAGAGTGAATGAGGCTGCACAGTGGTATATAGTGTTATGGGTGGAAAAACTGGCAGGATTATATGTAGGCAGAGTGCAGAACAAAAAGCCCCAGAAGCAATAACTGACCGCAAGTTGGATATGCATGAGCAGAAAAAGGTAACTCAAAATTGAGATGTAAAGGTCCAGAAATAATTTTTTTTTGTAAAGCTTATTTAAGCCATCTGTGACTTGAATGTCAGTGATTAACATAAGTTTTTTTGTTACCATTACCCACATGTCCAGCAAAATCTTTCTCCCATATTACTGTCCCTCCTTCCTATATCTCTCCCTACTACTTTTCCCTTCTCCTTCAGCTTCTTTATTTTTTCCTTTTTCTATGTCCTTTGTTTAGGGCTGACAGAGTCACCCACTACTATTGATACAGTCCTATTGGCAGTGCTCAGGAGTAAAAAATGAGATTTGTTGATTGCTGATTCACAGTATGACTAAAAAAATTTAACAAACATGCCAGAATTTATACATGCAGACGAATATTGCCTTCATCAGAGTAGACACCCTAGGTTCTATACACATTTTAACTATTATAGTAGTGCTGCTCAAAACATTTTGGAAATTTCTCTTTTGGATATTGCCTTCAAAGCCTGTTTATGAGACACATGGGATTATCAATTTTTCTACATTATAGTCACTCCCTTTTTTTTAAACTTAAAACTTCCAGCTTGATCACCCACTTATTTCACTATACTTTGCTTTTTTCTAAAGTCAAAGAAATGAAGTTTAGCTATCATTGAATATTCAAAGAAATGTATTTCAGGATCAGAACTCAATGTCAAAAGAAGAATTAACTCTAAATATATTTTGAACAATGGTACCATCTCTGGAATAAGAGTAGTTCAGCCAAATGATTATTTTGAAGGTGACATTTGTCCATTCTCACTTTTTTTTAAGAAGTGAGTCTAATTTCTTTGTAGTTATGATTTATGTTTTTTTTTAAAGAAACTAGTTTCTATCCCTTATCAATTATCAATGTTCTGTTGAGAAACTAGAGGAAATTTTTAGAAAATTGATTAAGTAATTAAAGGAA